AAAGAGCAAATGGCGTCTGTAATGTGGCCCCTGAAAGGGTCTCGGGCACCCCCGGGGCTCCCTGGGCCACTCTGAAAACCGCTAGCTTAGAACAAGCTCTGGTTCCTGGAAGGCATTCAGTAGACATTTGTCAGATGAACTAATAAATTCCAAAATGGCCACTTGAGGGGGCCAACGCTTGGTTGGATTTGCAAGTTCCGACGCACTCACGCGGGTGGTCTCTGGACCTGGGTTCCGCATCCAGCCTCAGTGCTCTCTTCCTGTGGCAGGTGTCCCCGTGAGCAGCAGAGTGTCCTCCAAGATCCAGCAGCTTCTTAACACCCTGAAGAAACCAAAGCGCCCTCCACTGAAGGAGTTCTTCGTGGATGATTTGGAGGAGGCGTTGGAAGGTGAGTGTCCCAACTCCGGCACACTGGTTTGTGCAGACAGGGCAGCCGTTACATCTGAGGACACAGGTAAACGTCCTTCATATGTGGGTCAGACCCAGACTCTGTGGTCATCGTGTGTGGTGGGGACCTCAGCGTCACACGCGACCTCGGGCTCTGTGTTAACAGCTCGTAGTTAAGAGACAGCGTCTCTCTGTGCCTCTGGTCCAGTGGTTAGTACTTTGTTAGAATACATCTAAGATTTCATTTTACTTCCATGATTTAAATTTTTATTTAAACTTTAAATCTGAAATACTTGTCTTCCCGTGGTTTTATTTATTTATTTATTTATTTCCCCCTTGGTTTTAAAGTATTATACCTTTAGCAAAGTTTGGGCTCTTTTTCAGGATTTTAGCCTCTCATTTATGAATGATATATATATTTAGAGAAAAAGAATATAGACTTATTTTTTTTAATTACCAAGAAACAGAAAGGCGTATAAATCTGTAGAAAAGTAAGAGAAGTGAAACCCCGTACAAGGTAGCAGTGTGTGACGTGTGGCTGGGGCCTCGGGACACCAGGCCACCCCCTGCCCCCGGCCTTGCACCTCTGCTGTGCCGTAGTCCCACAGACAAGCTCTGGTGTCTCCTCCTACTTGGGGATTAGGCATGGCTGTTAGGGCACGTCTGTGTAATCAGATCACACCTTTCAAATTCAGAGTTCAATGCTATGAATGCTTTTTAGGAAGTCTTTCGTACATTTGGGCAAATCTTGATGACATATCCACTGGAAACGTACTAGATTTTACTTTATTCTTTTCATTCAACGTGGTTTGAGCACCTAAACTGAAGTGGTCATTCTACCCTCATCCTTTATAAGTGGGGACACCTGCTTCTCAGGTGCCTTCTGGGTGAAAGCCTGGGGGTCATTGTAATCCTGGGGTTACAGTAGCCAGGATTCATCTGGATCCATGACTAGCTCTCTTTCCATCCTTGCTCAGTTGGTCTGTGACTCTTACAATGATGGGGGAATCTGATAGCCTTCTCATAATTGGTATTTTTAAAGAAGAAAAGTATAAAATGTGAATATGCCTAACGGTAGAGTATGTGCCTGGTTCTGTGAAATGCTGCTTTTCACATTCGGTTTTGCTTGTAGTGCAGCAACCAGATCCAAATCAGCCGAAGCCTGAGGGCGGCCAGATGGCAGTGCTGAAAGGGGAGCTGCTGGCCATGGGCAGCACCTGGCCACCGTCGCTGCTGGCCACCTTGCAGCAGTGGGGCACCACGCAGCCCAAAGCCCCGTGCCTGACCGCCCTGGATACCACGGGGAAGGCCGTCTACACCCTCACCTATGGCAAGTGTCAACAGAAAGCTGCTGGGCGCTGGCTAGCTGTGAAATATTACGTGTTGTACAACACAGACGTGCAGCTTGAGGACCATGAGAGAACAGATTCCTGACAAGCTGACACAACTGGCAGGGAAACAGAACCTCGCCTGCCCCCAGGGGCCCCTCCCGGGCCACTGCCCTTCCCCCACCGGGGGACCACTCCTGCCTGGTGGTTTCGAGAGTTCACATCTGTGTGTGCATTTCTGAACAGTGGAGTTTAGTTTTGTCTCGTTTTGAACTTTGGACAAGTGGCGTCAAGCAGTATGTGTTTTTTGTGTTTGGCGCCTTTTGGTTCCATTCTACGTGTTTATGTAACACGAATCGCATGCATTTGGCTGGACATGTTTTCACGGAGCACTCAGCCCCGAGGCACTTCTGGCCCCCAGGCCGGCGTCCCCCACAGCCGAGGCCAGCGCCCTGCTGACCGCTGGGTGTGAGCCAGTCTGAGGTGCTCTGGGCTGCGTCTTGCTCAGCGTTGTCTGAGGTTCATCCCTGTGCTGTGTGCTGCGTGGTCAGTTGATGGACGGTATCTCATTGTGAGAATGCACCACAGCCAACGTCCGAGCTCAGCGGCAGGTGGGCGTCTGGGTTGTGTCCACTCCGGGGCTGCTGCGTGTCAGGCTGTTGTGAACGTTCTCTGTGGGTCTGAGGTGGACGTGTAGGCGTTCGTGCTGCTGTGGGCGTAGGACTCGCGCGTCAGCTTCAGGACGAGCTGGCGAGCTGTTTCCACCCCCCCAGCCCTGGGGGAGGAGTCCCAGCACTGGATACTGTCTATTCCCGTTCGCCTTCCTTGAGGGAGCATCGTGGTGTCCGGTGCCTGGTGCTGAGGGTGCTTCTAATGTGCTTACTGGCAGCTTGAACACCTCCTTCTACAAAGTACCCAGATCTTTGGCTCATTTTTCTGTTCGCTTGCTAATGCTTTTTATGTTTCAGATACACACCTTTTGTCCAGTACATGATTTGCAAATATCTCCTTCCACCCTTTGCACCGCCTTTTAACACTTTTAATTGTGGCTTTCGATGAATAAGAAGCCTTAACCTAGGCTTAGGTTAACGTAGCCTGATTCATCTGCTTTCTCCCTCGTTTGTGCCCTCTGTTCTGTGTAGGAAGTCTTTGCCAGACCTAAGGGCACATTCTGCTCCTCCAGGCCTGCTTCTGAAGACTCCTTCTACTTTTCAAACTTAGTGTCATGATCCGTCTGCAGTTTAGTTTTGTGTATGGTGTGAACTTGGGCTCATTTTCTCTCCTATGAATGGAGTTGACCCACTATCATTTGTTGAGAAGCAGTCCTTCCCCCGGATACGGCTTTATCATCCGTCAGGTGAAAACTGTACTTGTGGGTCTGTTCTCTTCACCATCCGCGCTTGCTGAGTTGCTGGAGCTTTATGAGTCTGTGTTGGATGTCAGTCCTCCAGCTCTGTGATTGCGCCTCAAGATTTCCTTGACTATTCTTTTTTTTTTTTTTGCGGTACGCGCGCCTCTCACTGTTGTGGCCTCTCCTGCTGCGGAGCACAGGCTCCGGACGCGCAGGCTGAGCGGCCATGGCTCACGGGCCCAGCCGCTCCGCGGCATGAGGGATCTTCCCGGACCGGGGCACGAACCCGAGTCCCCTGCATCGGCAGGCGGATTCTTAACCACTGCACCACCAGGGGAGCGCTCCAAGTAAACTTTAGTATCAGCTTGTCCATTTCCAGAAAAAAATCCTTCTGGGGTATTGATTGGCAGTGCACTGAAGCCATTGTCCAGCTTGAGGCGAATCGGTGTCGTTGCAGTTGTGGGATCTTCCAGCTCATGACCCTGGAATATACCGCCTTTGAAGGCCTACTTTAGTTTCTCTCAGTGACGTTTTACGCTTTTGAGTCCAGAAGTCTTGAGGTTCTTTCGTTAGATTTATTCCTATTGTAATGGAATGATTAAATTTTTTCTACTCACTTGTTGCTTGTAAATAGAAATGCAATTGATCTTTTAAATGGTGACTTTGTATCTAGTGATCTTGTTAAAGTGACATATTAATTCTTTTTGGTCTATTCATGAGTAGTTTTGGACATCCTGTGCACAAGTTGAGCCCCTGTGAGCAATGACGGTGTTGTCTTGGCCTTTCTGGTTCTCACACCTTCGGTTTCCGTTCTTGTCTCACTGCACAGGCTGGAACCGCCAGTGCAGTGTGAATCCTTCTCTGTCTTAGGTGGAAAGCGATTGGTCTTGAAGTACGCTGTTTTCTGTAACTTTTCTGCTTGTTTTATGCTAGAAATTCTTTGTCATAATGAAGTTCTGTTTCTAGTTTGCTGAAAGTTTCGCATCATGGGTTGGCTTTTTCTGCTTCATTGAGGTGACCGTACAGTTCCTCTGCCCTCCTCCACTAATTTGATGAATTACATTGATTAATTTTCAAATGTAAAGCAGCCCTTGCATTCCTGGATTAAATCCCACTTGGCCAAGAGATCTTTTCAATAAACGCCTGGATTCTAGTTGCCAGTATGCTGTTTGGGGTCTTCGCACCTGTGCTCATTAGAGAGATGGCTCTGTAATTCTTTTTGTTTTGTTTTGTTTTTGTTTTTGTTTTTGTTTTTGTTTTTGTCTTGCAGTACGCGGGCCTCTCAGTGTTGTGGCCTCTCCCGTTGCGGAGCGCAGGCTCCGGACGTGCAGGCTCAGCGGCCATGGCTCACAGGCCCAGCCGCTCCGCGGCATGTGGGATCTTCCCAGACCGGGGCACGAACCCGTGTCCCCTGCATCGGCCGGTGGACTCTCAACCACTGCGCCACCAGGGAAACCCTGTAATTCTTTAAGAAAGGAGCTTGCTGCGCACTCATGAGTGTGCTTTGCTGACAGCCTCCACCTGGAATTCAGCTTCTGGGTGCGGGTTCCACGAGGCATTGGGGCAAGGCCTGTGTTCCGTTCAGCACAGACTTCCCTTGTGAGGGAGCCTGCAGGGACTGCGGCCGGACGGCGTCGCCCGCATTCACTGTCCCGCACTTCCCGGGAGCCCTTCTTGTGCCTCGCTCTGCCTCAGTGCTTCCTGAAGACCCCAGCCTGTGGTCCTTCTCTCCTTGTCTTGCGTTTTAAGTCTGTATCCACTATACCCGTAAGACACCACTCACTATTCTTGCTTTTTAAGTCAGGAGTCGTGCTGTTTTTTCTTTCCTTTGCGGAATGTTCTTCCTGCCACTCTGCGTTTCCCACTGTAAACTCTCCTGCTGGCTGTGGGACTGCCCGCATCTTCCTTTGTGAAGGCGGACAGGCATCTGTCAGCACTCTGAAGGCTTTTGTGATATCTTTTGAGGAGTGAGATGCCAGATTATTGCTCCTCTCTGGATGAGGATGTGTCTTTTTCCCTGTGATGGCTTTTTGGCTTTGGCTTGCATCTGTCTTACTGTGATGTACATATTTAGCTGTTATGTTCTTTGAAAGTTTCCTGCTTGGGGTCCACAGGGCTTCGTAGATCAATGGAATGGTAGCTTTCATCAGTTTTTGGAAAATTATAGCCATAATTTCTTGATATAGTGATTCCTGCCCATTTCTCTCTCCTGTCCTCCTGGGAGTCTGATTACATTTATATTAATACCTTTTCTGAGTCCCATGTGCCTTTTTTATATTTTGCGTTCTTTTTAAAAAATTAATTAATTGATTAATTTTAGCTGTGTCGGGTCTTAGCTGCAGCATGCGGGATCTTTCATTGTGGCGCGCGGGCTCTTCATTGCAGCCCACAGGCTTCTTTCTAGTTGTGGCACGTGGGCTCTCTAGTTGTGGCATGCGGGCTCAGTAGTTGTGGCGCACGGGCTTAGTTGCCCTGCGGCATGTGGGGTCTTACTTCCCCAACCAGGGATTGAACCTGCGTCCCCTGCATTGCAAGACCGATTCTTAACCACTGGACCACCAGGGAAGTCCCATGGCATCCTTTTTATATATATACTTCAGTTTGGAGATTTTCTGTTTTCCTTTATTCACATTTTCTAAAACTGATGTGATCTGTGTGACCCTTTCCTCTTGTGGGAGGGGTCCCCAACCATGGGTTTTGTCTTATGTGGCGACTTGGGGGCTCTGCCTGGCCTTTCAGAGGTTTCCACCTGCTGTGCATGGCCCCGAGATTCAGCAGATGCCTCTTGAAGCCCCAGTCTCCGCGCCCCAGCAGCAGTACTCCGAGGGGCACAAGGCCGTGAGATGTTTGTCTCCTGTGGGTGCCAGATGCTAAGCCCCGCCCCCCGCTTTTGTAAGAACAGCTGCTGAAGGTCAGCTCACCTCCCAAGGGTTTCCCCAGGGGTCTTAACTCCTCTAGTTGTCTTTGCTGCTTCCGACAGATGGTTTTGCATTTTATCCAGTCTTAAGTCATTCTGGGTGCGAGTGCTGGTCTGCCATCACCGCTCTTTCCTGCGTGGAAGCAGAGTCTCCGACCTTTATGCTTTTAAGATTCATCCGTACTATTGTGTGTAGTTGTAGTTCATTCATTTCTGTTGAGGAATGAATATTGAATATTTCAGAATATATGTCTCCATTATACTGTTGATGGACTTTTGCGTCATTTCCAGTTTTAATTGTTACAGACAGTGCTACCGGGAGCATTCCGGTATGTGCTACCTGGTGTGTAAGCGTGCATTTTTGTAGGGTATATACTTAGGAGAGGAGGTGCTGGCTAGTTCTGGGATTATGACGTCTTTACATTTATCAGATAATTCCAGACTTTTGCAGTTTGCACTTAACCTGATCAGTGGATGAGTCCCACCTTCTGCCTGTCATTGGCAGGCTTATTAATTTTGGCTAATCTGGTGAGAATATGGTGACAGTCGTTGTGGTGCTAATTTGCCTTCTCCTGATGACTAAGTAGGTTGAGATCTTTTCCTGGTTTTGATCATTTGGGTTTTCTCTTTTGTGGAGTGTTGTTGAATCTTTTGCACATTTTTATACAGGGTTATTTGTGGGCGTTTTGTGTGTTCTGGATGCCAGTCCTTGTTGGCGGCTTACTGTGCGCCCTGGCCGCTCACGGCCCTGCAGCAGGCTTCCCTCCCCCACTCCTGGGCTCTAGCTCTGCTGTTCTCCCACCCGCGTTTAGACTTGCCGCCCACCTGGAGGGAGTTTAGTTTGTGTGTGTGGTGTGGGCCTGGCCTCCGGGTCAGTTCTTCAGGAAAGGTGGCAGCTTTCCCGTTCTTGTCTCCTCGGTGCTACCTGTGTTGTAAGTGGAGTTGTTCACACAGGGGTGGGTCTGTTTGGGGTTTTTTGTTTTATCACGTTGATTTATATTCTACCCTTACGCCAATAGCACGCTCTTTTTTTTTTTTTTTGCAGTACGCGGGCCTCTCACTGTTGTGGCCTCTCCCGCCGCGGGGCACAGGCTCAGCGGCC